GCTCACTCCTTTTGCTCGATTGTGAACATAAATTGGATTCCTCGAGAAAGAGCCAGCTGCAATACACGTGGTATGATATGTTTGAGAATTGGACACGATTCAACTATTGAAGTCAAGAACATTTGCGATTCTCTCTTTTCTTACTCACACTCCGGCAACTTTGATAAGTGATGTTCGTTTGCTCAACTGGCAACTCCTAAATGTTCTCACCATTATGTTATTTAAATGATAGAAAAATAGCTTTAAATACTAAGGGAAACGTTTTTATCTAGTCAAAAGTTTAGTTAATTGATGGAACAACTCTGCCATGTTGAGCCGCAGATTAATTCATGACTATTCAACCGTTTAATGTGGACAAGCATCGCGTTTGGAAGCAAGTTCTTATTCATGAACTCGTGGGCAGATCACGTATCATAAGTGGAATATCAAGATAAACAGCAACAATAGGGCATTAAAGGTCTGCAAGTTAAAACTATCGCAGGAAGAGACCGGGAAAAATAAGACCAAACGGAGTAATCAATATTCTTTTATTTTTAGGAGGGATCAAAGAGCCTTGCTTATGTGACAGCGAAGATCCGTTCACTCGTGTGTATCCAACTGTTTTTGCTGACAACTCGTGTTTTGCTGACAACTTGTGACAACTCAAGAAGCTAGAGTTGCCCTCGGCTATCGCCTCGGGCAACTCTTACGCTTCTTTCGTGCTCTCCAAACTTCCCACGTGCTCCATAACTCGATAGTGCACGCTAAAGCATGAACCAATTGTTAAACAGTGTTTGGATTTGGATAGTTGGACCTGTTCTTAGGAATTTACGTATGCACGTGACGGAATGAGTAACTTGTACAAACTCAAGCATTGTGGCATTGAACTTTCTTTGGTAAAAACTGTTCATTAAAGGAACACAGAAATGAGCTTCCAATCAAAAATGCACTTAGTGCTCAGTTAAAGACCTCAATCTTTATTGAAAAGTCTTCAAAAGATTAAATCGTTATTTCCTAACTCTAGTTTACTGAATGAATATTTGTTTGCTGAGAGCCTCTTTATCTGTCGTTTTGAAGACCCTTTGGAGCCATTGTTGATCACAGATGGGCGCCAAACCACCACTGAGTGGTGGAATGATCACTTGCTGTGCAACGGAACTTGAGGTTAATGGTATGGTAATAACCAAAGTTGTCTTCACTGGACACTGAGCCGCACTTCGGGTTGAACTTGCAACAGGAATCGCTGATTTGCAACATGTAACTAGTACTCTGCCAAAAACGGGCGGTGAGATGAATACCCATGTGCCCCCGGATATTCACAAACTCCACCTTCTTACACTGACTAGCCCCAATAAAGTCGACAATGTTGAAGTCAGTTACTGCGGACGTAGTCTGTGAAATCAACGCCATGGGTCGGGTAGCTGCAGGTTGTGCGCCAGTGAGTGGAGTGGGCTTGTAGGGACCTCATTCGAGTCAGACTCAGTCGGTACATATTCCAGATCAGAGAGTTCTCGTTCACAGGAGCATTGTTCTTGAAGGGATTTCTCTTGAAAGCAGAGAGTGCACGATATTTGTTAGCCCAGGACATCACCAGGGTCCATGCAAAACCACGCTCAACTCACAATAGGCTGGAAAACTGTTGCCGTTAGAATCGTAGAGTTCATACATACCGCAAGCGGATGCGCCCCTCAGAAAATGATCCAGGCGAAAGTTGGCACGAAATTTCTCCTTATTTAGTAAGTTATTCTTTGGTTTAGGACAAGAATCTCCCTGGAAATAAGCCGAAAGAAATGAGCGTGGTCAGCAGTCATAAGACAAAAGCAAAAACGAAACAATGGGTATGGATGGTCAAGCTGACAAACAACTAACAAGGGGGGGGGGAAAGGACGAAGGTTTCCATAGGGACCGTCCATGGTGACATTTGGAAATCTTAAGACTTCTTATTGTTCCTTAATTAGGTTGGGAGGTTGGTTGAAGTTTTACAGCTTCCCTTTCCTGACCCCCACGGTGAGAGTGAGAAATAATCTAGCCGAATCATATTGATTTTACTAACTGCGTACTGTGATTGGTGCTGAGCGATGGCGTCATCCTTTCAACCAGTGACATACAAGATCAAAATAGCCATTGAGCAATCACGATTTTCGCGCTTTTGAGGCCTTATTTACTTTGGATTCTCGTTGCCGTCTTCTGACGAGTACTTTTCCCTGATTTTTTTTTTCTTCGCTTTTCGCCCTAAATTGAAAAGCACTTATTATCCTACTTTCCTGCTTGAAGAAAAAAAATATATAACAAGTTTACCTGACACACAACACCACTCCGCTCATTCTCAACAATTCCTCACTGAGAAAATTAGTCTACAGTTTTCCTTTTGGTCGCAAATCAGTGATCCAAAGTGATCAATGAATCAGGTAAGTAAATTATGGACGCATTTTAGGTTGGATGCTGTGATCCGAATCAGTGTTTTA